CTTAAACTGATGAATTATCTGCACGCGGCGATAACTGAATCTTTAAGATTGTATCCGCCAGTGCCAGTGGACACAATGAGTTGTGCTGAGGACAATGTTTTGCCTGATGGGACATTTATAGGGAAATCTTGGGGGATAAGCTATAACGCGTATGCAATGGGAAGGATGGAGAGTATTTGGGGGAAAGATTGTGATCGGTTTGATCCTGAGAGGTGGATTGATGAAACAAATGGTGGTTTTAGAGGTGAGAATCCTTATAAGTTTCCTGCGTTTCACGCAGGACCAAGGATGTGTTTAGGGAAGGAGATGGCTTATATTCAGATGAAATCAATAGTCGCCGCGGTTTTAGAGCGGTTTGTGGTTGAGGTTCCGGGGAAGAAGGAGCGTCCTGAGATTCTATTGTCGGTGACACTTAGAATCAGAGGAGGTTTGTTTGCGAGGGTACAAGAGAGATCTTGAGTTACTTGTTATAGAAGCAACCTTGTTTGCTCGTCTCATATCTTTGAGCGTCCATATTTTACTGTAACAGACACGTTTTTAGTGGATTATCGAAATACATACAATCTTGGTTTGACGTAGGAGAAGTGTGACCAACAATGGTTGGTCAAATTTACATTTCAACTTTTAGTAGTTGCATTTTTGTGTGCATTCGTGAGAGTTGTGAGCTTTCTTTTTGACAAAATCTAGGGCAAATCTTGGTTTAATCCTTGCACAAACCTTGCGATCTTGGATCTTCAAAAAGCTTACCTCGCATCTGTATATATTGGCTAACATAATTGGTATCCCTTCGGCTCTATCTCCTCAGATATTGGCATAATCAATATCCTAGCAGAGCTATCAAAATTTGCTTAACCGAAAACAGAGGACCGTTAAACTCAAAGAAAAATATTTCACAACATATTATACACAAACTAAGAAAACTGTTTTTTTTTTTTTCTTTTTTGTCAAATTAAGAAAACAAATTAAATTTCTATTTTATCCTTTATAAATATATTAAATGAGTTTTTCTTTCTTATTAGTAACCTGAAATAACGAGGATAAAACAGAGTTTTAGTTAAAAAAAGTTTGCATAAAAAATATAAAACGACATTTTTTTGTGAAACAAAAATTAAATTTTAAAATGACAATCTTTGTGAAACGGAAAGAATACTAAATACTACAAAAATCTTTGACAAGTGCCTTTTTTTTTTTTTTTTTTTTAGTTAACTACTACATTGAAATAGTAAAAAAAAAAACTTTTAAATGGTTGGAAGACGGAAAGAACTAATAAACCGTTCAAAATTTAAGGACCGGTAACAAATCGTTGTAGACCAATTTTGTTGTCTTTCAGAAGAACAGTTTTTAGCTTACTAAATAATTTTATGATTCTAAATTTTATGAATAATGAACCCAAAAAAAACAGGTTTGTCAAGACGAAATCATTGATTAGTGTGAGTGATTACACTTGTTTTTCTTAAATCAGCGATGGTACCGAACCGGTCATACCGATTTGAACCCTAAATTAACAATCTCTTGGCTTTTGCATAGTGAACACTGAGAAAACCAAAAGCAACTCAGCAATCTATCTATCTCCTTCATCGGGCGGGCGACTTGGTCTTCTTCTTCATCGTTCGCTGTCTTTGTCCGATCCATCTCGCCTCTTCCTTCCATCTATCGGTTAGATCTTCAGCTCGATTATCTTGTTTTTTTTTCTTCTTCTTCTTAGATTGTGACCATTTCTATGCGTTAACGATCACGCTTGATGATCATATCACTTTCTTCTCTTACCCATTTCTATGCGTTAATTTTAAGGGTTTCCTTCTTCATTTCGTGTATTAAACTTTGATCTGGCGAAATGCAGAAATTCTCATTGCGAGATAGGGTTTTTTAGGTTCGTTGATTGTGGATCCTATTTCCTGCCATTGTTGATTTTGTTATATAGATTTAGGGTTACCAATCTGGGAAAAGTCTTTGCTTTAAAACTCTTTCTTATATTTTCCGTTGCTCAGGTTTCTGATTCCTATATTTTCCTGTAAAATTTTCCTTTAATGGCAATCGAAATCTCCAATTTTTTACGATTTCTATTGATTCTATACTGCAGATGATTTTTTTCCAGTTTTGGCTCATTGCTTGTCAATAAATCTCGTCTGGGTTTTCGAAATTGTTTCAGTTACTGCTATTTGTTTGATCGACATCTAATTCATTCTTCTTGAGTAGTTACTATACATCAAATAGCTTTGAAGACAATATTATACCATCATGCCCTCATTTTTTCCTTGATAATGCTTTTCTCTCAGAATGATGGAGGCCAAACCAAAAAGGAGGATTGTTACAGAGAATGGAGATACAGGGGAGGATTTAGTTCTTGCTACATTGATTGGAAACGGAGATGATGTGGGTCCTCTTGTTAGGCATGCTTTTGAAATGGGGCGGCCTGAGCCTCTCGTTCATCAGCTCAAAAACGTGGCGAGGAAGAAGGAAGCTGAAATCGAGGATCTATGCAAGACCCACTATGAAGAATTCATTGTTGCGGTTGATGAGCTCCGTGGTGTGCTAGTTGACGCTGAAGAGCTTAAGAGTGACCTTGCAAGTGACAATTTCCGCTTGCAAGAAGTTGGTAGTGCCTTATTGGTAAAGCTGGAAGAGCTTCTCGAGTCTTATGCAATCAAGAAGAATGTAACCGAAGCTATTAAAATGTCAAAGATCTGCGTTCAAGCGCTGGAGTTGTGTGTTAAATGTAATAGTTACATATCTGAAGGCCAGTTTTACCATGCCCTGAAAACCATGGATTTGATTGAGAGGAGTTACCTGAAGCTTATCCCACTTAAGGTTCTAAAGTTGGTTATAGAGAGAAGAATTCCAGTGATCAAGACACACATTGAGAAAAAAGTGTGCAGCCAATTTAATGAATGGCTTGTTCACATTAGGAGTTCCTCAAAAAATATTGGACAGACTGCTATTGGCCTCACCGCTTCAGCTCGCCAGAGGGAAGAAGAAATGCTGGAACGTCAGAGGAGAGCAGAGGAACAAAACACTGGGGGTTTGGGAGAATTGGCATACACTTTAGATGTTGAAGATTCGGAACAAGATTCTGTTTTAAAGTTTGATCTCACACCTCTGTATCGAGCTTATCACATCCACACTATTCTTGGAGTCCCAGAACGATTTCGTGACTATTACTATGAGAATAGGCTACTGCAGCTCCAATCAGATCTGCAGATCTCTTATACACAGCCATTTGTGGAATCATACCAAACATTTCTAGCCCAGGTTGCAGGATATTTCATTGTGGAGGATCGGGTGATTAGGACAGCTGGAGATTTCTTATTGGCGGATCAAGTTGAGACAATGTGGGAAACAGCCATTTCCAAAATTGTAGCGATATTGGAGAACCAATTTGCCAGAATGGATTCGCCTACTCATCTGCTTTTGGTGAAAGATTATGTAACTCTCCTTGGCACAACCCTTAGACAGTACGGTTATGAAGTGGGTCCAGTTCTTGATGCCCTTGACAAGAGCCGAGATAAATACCACGAGCTTCTTCTTGAAGAGTGTCGAAAGCAAATCGTGACTGCTATTACAGAGGACACTTATCAGCAGATGGTAATCAAGAAGGAAGCTGACTATGAAAACAATGTCTTGTCGTTTAATCTTCAGACCTCAGACATTATGCCGGCTTTCACTTACATTGCGCCGTTCTCTTCTATGGTGCCAGATGTTTGCCGCATCATCAGGTCATACATAAAAGGATCTGTTGATTACTTGTCATATGGAGTGAACACTAACTTTTTCAGTGTTCTGAGGAAGTACCTTGACAAAATCTTGATTGATGTATTGAACGAAGTTATCCTCGAGACGATTAGCAACAATTCAATTGGTGTATCTCAAGCTATGCAGATTGCAGCGAACATATCTTTCCTCGAAAAGGCCAGTGACTATTTTCTCCGGCATGCAGCTCAACTTTGTGGCATCCCAAGCCGATCAGTTGAGAGGCCTCAAGCTAGTTTAGCTGCAAAGGTTGTCCTCAAAACATCAAGAGACGCAGCCTATCTTGCTTTGTTGAATGTGGTTAACACCAAGTTGGACGAGTTCATGAAACTCACAGAAAACGTAAACTGGACTACAGAGGAAATGCCACAAGGGCCGCACGAGTACATAAACGAGGTTGTTATATACCTCGAGACTGTAATGTCAACGGCACAACAGATCCTCCCAATGGATGCCTTATACAAAGTTGGAGTTGGGGCTATCGAGCATATCTCAAACTCCCTCGTCTCTACATTCCTCAGCGATAGCATCAAGAGATTCAATGCTAATGCAGTCTCGGCCATTAACCACGATCTGAGAGTGATAGAAAACTTTGCTGATGAGAGATATCACTCAAGTGGGTTAAACGAGATCTACAAAGAAGGAAGCTTTAGAAGCTATCTAGTTGAAGCTAGGCAGCTGATAAACCTGTTGTCGAGTAGCCAACCCGAGAACTTCATGAACCCGGTGATTAGAGAGAGGAACTACAACACTTTGGATTACAAAAAAGTGGCTACGATCTGCGAGAAGTTTAAGGATTCTGCAGACGGGATATTCGGAAGCCTGGCAAATAGAAACACAAAGCTGACAGCTAAAAAGAAATCGATGGACATGCTCAAGAAGAGACTCAAGGAATTTAACTGATTCTCTATAAACACTAGTAGGTCCTGACCTCCCACTCACATCGTCATCATCGTCATCATCCTTTAGCTTTACTATTCCCTTAATTTGCTTCTTCTGGTTAACCTCTAATCTTGTTTATGTCCTTCTTCTTTTTCTCTGTTTCTGTTCTATGACCCAATTCATTAATCAATTTCAGTTTTGTCCTAATCGACAAAATTCATCTTAATGGCTCAGGATTAATCTTTAGTGTAGCATGAATTGATAATCCAAGCTAAAAAAAGCTTCTAGATAGCTTTTAGATTCTAATTTGAAAAAAGTTGCACTCTTGTAAATCTATTTGTGTGGACCGGAGACTCCAAGTCACCTTATCCAAAGTGTCACCAAAACCTGAAAACTTTCAACCTCAAAAAATCCAAATTTGTGCTTTGTATTCCGACAAAAAAAATGGCGACTGCATCTCTAGTTCTGACATCTAAAGTCTTCTCTGTCTCTTCGAAATGCTCAGCTTTGATTAAAGCAAGGACTGGCGTAGTTGTTGCATCGGCGCAACAGCAACAACAGCCAAGAAGGAGAGAGCTGCTGCTGAAATCGGCAGTGGCGATTCCGGCGATTCTGCAATTGAAGGAAGCTCCGATATCGGAGGCGCGTGAAGTGGAAGTTGGATCATACTTACCTCCGTCGCCGTCTGATCCTTCCTTCGTCCTCTTCAAAGCCAAACCTTCAGATACTCCTGCTCTCCGCGCAGGTGATGCCTAATCCCACTCTTCCTGTTCTGCATTGTCCGTCAACTATTTGATTACATTGGTTTTGACTTTTGACTATCAATCTAAACAAAGTTAAGTTGCGTAATTTAGTTAGTGTTGGTGAATTACTAAGTTCAGTTTAGTTACCGTTTGATATGATTGGTGTTATTAACTTTTAAATTAATGATCTTTGAAATCTAGTCTGGTTGCAGGAAATGTTCAGCCCTATCAGTTTGTTCTACCTCCGAACTGGAAACAGTTGCGAATAGCCAACATTTTATCAGGTAACTACTGCCAACCGAAATGCGCAGAGCCATGGATCGAAGTGAAGTTTGAGAACGAGAAGCAAGGCAAAGTTCAAGTAGTTGCATCTCCTTTGATCCGCTTAACCAACAAACCAAATGCAACCATTGAGGATATCGGTGAGCCTGAGAAAGTGATTGCTTCTCTTGGTCCTTTTGTCACCGGAAACTCTTATGACTCTGATGAACTTTTGAAGACTTCAATCGAAAAGATTGGAGATCAAACGGTAAATGACACAACAAGTGGCTGCTTCTCTGACTGATCAATCATTGAGGAAAGTTTCTGATCATTTTTTTGGTTTACGTCTTCTTGTGTTTTTTATGACAGTACTATAAGTATGTGTTGGAGACACCATTTGCGCTCACGGGAAGTCACAATCTTGCAAAAGCGACAGCAAAGGGAAACACGGTGGTTCTGTTTGTCGTGAGTGCTACTGAAAAGCAATGGCAGAGCTCACAGAAGACTCTTGAAGCCATTCTTGATTCTTTTCAACTGTAATTCCTGAGTTATTGTTGAGACTCTGAACTCAAGAAACCATAGAGAAAACGGTATGTGTGAAGTGAGTATCTGTGTAGTACAATTAACTCGGATTCTTTTTTACTATAAATTTGAGCTACAACTCGGATTTACATAGTTTTTTACCATTTGTTTTGCTCAGTTGTACTACCAGATCGAGACAGTTCTCAGTGATATTTTTGCTCAGCATGTCTCTATGCTCTAATCGTTAAACATTGGATAGTGAATAGGCGTGATTGTATAACTTTCTCGGGTTATTAAAGATCAAAAGATTACAGGGCTAGGATTTCTGTATATTGTTTCAAAACCGAAAAACTGTACAAGATAGATTCTGACACATCGTGTGGGAAATTCCCTCTACTTGCGGTTTCTACATACAGAGCAAGTCAAGTGCTCACGAGATGAGGGACTTCTGGCCGTGGAAGAATGCAGGAGTATGTTACATACTTCACATCGTCCACAAGCAAGACTATGAAAACTGGAGACAGTGATTTTGTTCCTCCCATCATCTCATCGATGTCTCCATCCCCGCCTTCTCTGGGATCAACAAGCACAGATACAACCATTGACGGGGCAGGCTTGGTGTCCTGGAAGTTCTCTTTGCTAGAGCACTTATGATCTTTGGTAAGATTAAAATCAGATGCTGAAAGACCACCATGGAGGATTCTTCTGTTCTTTTTCCCCTTGTGAGTATCAGTGTTCTTAGATTGTTCAGTAGGTGGAGAAGCAGGCATGATGGATCCTGAGGTTGAGGAGACATCAAACTGAAACACTTCGGTGCACATCCCCGAACTGAACATTGGCCCTATCAGTGGATACATTTAACAAAAATAGGTGTTATATATGCAAATGGAAACGATTCAGCTCACTATTCTAGCTAAAAGATTGCTCTTTATGTCTCAAGGGGAGAATCAGGGACATTGGAAACTAATGAATACCTGCAACACCTTCACGAAACCATTGCTGCATTTGACCATTGGCTGTTGTTAATTTGAGTTGTTCTTTCAAAGCATCATCAGAACCAGAAGATGACAGGGCTTTCGGCGTTTCGCTATAGAGGTGCTTAGACATATCCATGGTCCTTGTGGAGTCAGGTAAAGGCATTGCAGGAGAAATAATCCCTTTAGTAGTAGTTGCTACACCGCTTTTGCCTTCTTTGTTCTTTGTTTCAGAATCCCTGGCTTTCTCGCTCGCCAAAACAGAATGAATAATCAAATTTCCATCGATCTTGACAAGCTTTTCATTCCTCGGGACAAATAGCGATGCAACTAGAGGTTCACTACTATTTCGAGGAGGCCCCAAGTTCCCTGTCTCAGATACGTTTCTTCTCACTCCTTGATCAGAATCTCCCCCACAATGTGCTCTATTACTATCAACAACCAAAACTCTTCCTCTAGACTGATCATAAACCCCGTAGTTAGACTTATACTCGCCATAGCTAATGTTCACAATGGGAGCCAATGCACAAAACAGAAATAGACAAAACAGAAGACCAAGAACACTAACACTAGCAACCTTCTTGAACTTCTTCACCTTAGCCACAGAGTGTTGTGGTTTCAACCGAGGAATAGGAAGTAAAGGCACTTGAGAACCTTGCGGTTTAACCATATAAGCCGGATACGGTATCCACGGATAAGCCATTGGAGCCAACGGTGGATACATCGATGGTTGACACATGCCATTTCTGGGGCCCATCTGCTGCCTCAAAGTAACATTCTCAGCCATGAAATAAGACATCTTACTGCTCAATTCCGATATAGTGGAGTGCATGTTCTTAACTTTATCTTCAAGCTCCTCCACGTAATGTTTCTTCCTCTGTCTTGAAAGGTGAGCACTTTCACGGTTTCTAATCAGTCTCACTTTCTTCTTCTCATCATCTTCTTCATCACCACCTGTGACAACACTTGCAAAGCCATCTTGATCCAATGTCCTGTACTTATTGTTCCTAGATTCTTCACGTGAATCTTCTTGAATCTCTTTTTTCCTCTTCGCAGACTCTTGTGCCGATAAACTCAAGCTCTGAGTAGTACCGGAACGATCAGAATCCCCAGGCGATTCCCTATCGCAGTAGATTGGAGTAGATATTAACACGCCATTGGTATTCTTCTCCGTTTCTTCTTTAACACAATCGCCTGAAAGTTCCGACGCCGGCGTAAAATCACCGGACATTTCTCGAGCGTCAACAGGAATGGCGAAAGATTCGTTCTTAGGGGGGAAGTAGAGATCGTCTTCTGAAGTAAACTGGAAGTCTCCGTCCCCGTCGTCGTCATCGATCAAAAACCTCAGATCAGAGATCGAGTTCCCAACTTGATCGGAGCTAGAATTGCAGAAATTGTCAAACGAAGAAGGAGGGATCGTGATGGAATCGAAATCGGAAGAGAAGGTAAGATAAGTGTCCTCCAAAACAGGTTCCGCCATTGTTGGAAAGCTTTAAGGTTTAGAGTTACTAAATTGGGGAAGAAGAAGAAGAAGGCTTTATAAGAGAGAAGGACGTTGGTCTCCTTCGGCGCGTGTATTTCACTCAGGATCTGATCAATGCATTGAATGGAAGAGTGTAATAGACGCGCAAGAAAAGGAGCGTGGAAGATATTGGAGTCCATATTCTTGCACGTTGACTGCATTAAGTTGGAGTGATGCAGGGTTTATATGCTCTTTAACGGTTTTTTTTTTTTTTTTTTTTAATATGCATCTCTGACTCTTTCTCTCAAAAACATTTCTATCTTTAGGATTGGATCTTAAAACAAATCTAATCTATTATATATTTAAACTTTGCAATGGAGTCTCTTTGACGTCACGCATGTCTCCTGTCTTCTACCATCATTATTATATATGATTATATGTTGTGGAGCTTAATTTTTTGGATCAGCTATAAAAATCTGACGACCAAGTAAAACCATCAGCCATGTATTGCCCCGTGCATGGAAATACATTTCTGTCGGTAAATAATATTACCCATGAGATGGAATGATGGATGGTAGATGGTGTATCTTTGTGCAATATTTGGTGCAAGTGAATAATGGTTATAAGTTTACAATATAATTTAACCTTACCTGAAAAAACAAACCATAACCTGAAAACCCACAACCAGACCTACTTTGTAATAGGCTAAATAATTGTAGCCTCTAAGTATTAGTGTCTAATACAAACACATTGTGTTCTCGACATGATCCGGAACAGTTCATATTGAAGTAAAGTCGTAACGCCTTCTATCCTTGGGTAAAGTACCTTCGAGGTCAACATACCTCATACTGTTTAGCTTCGGATCATAATATAAGACACGTAACAACTTTTCGTTATAGAGCCTGTACCTCAACTCGCCAAAAACGATCTCACCACCACGAGTAGCACCCAAGAGGCGCCAATTTGAAAAGCCATGCATCTCGTAAAAGAAAATCCTGGACCATCCTTGTGTCTCCTTCTCAGCATCCTTCATAACCCAAAATTTCCATGTCCTTCTTGCAATACACGAATCCTAACTTCCCTTGGTAGTAGTTTACCAGAGTTGAAATGTCATCTGTATATGTTTTGGGGGCTTCGACATGATAAATTTTTTTTTTTTTTTTTTTTTGGGTAAACGACATGATAAATTTTCTCAGATCTAACATCAAAACTCATCAATTTATATCTAGAACTAGAGAGTCTAGAGTTATAACTTGTAGTAGTTTCCCCTCGATAATAAATAGCCCCATTGATGCAAACTGCACCTTCAAATGTAACGTGATGAGATCCAACACCTTGGAGTTTCCTCCACTGCTTCGTCTTGGGATCTCCCAACGTGAAAACTTGACAAGCCTGCTTCCTATAGTCTGATGATAGGAACAATACTTTGTATTGATTCTCGAGAGGGTCGTAACCAAAGAAGCAAGTGCCATAGTGCATCATCTCTGGTAAGTGAAAGGACTGCCTTGTGGTAGGGTTATATATTGAAATTGCTAAGTGTGCTAGTTCTATACGTTTGTATGATGAGAGAGTGTAGCGAGTTCGTTTGTGCATAAAGTAAATGAGACACAAGAGATTTGTTAACGGGGTTCGGTTAACCTACATCCCCGGGACCAAGTCCAGAAACCATTCACTAGAAAAGGCCGCAACCTACAATTGCTATATGGTATCCACCACTCTTTTCTAGAATTACAATGAAAGAAAACTACTACTCCTATTGTCTTTTCCGACGAGTATAGCTTCTCAACAAAACCATCAAAAGATCTCTCTATCTTGTTGATGGGGCGACGTCACACACACATGTGTGCCTCTCTCGATAAACCCTAGACGCGCAAGTCTTCATGTTGCCGTCTCTTGGTATTTATATCAAGTGCCAAAAACCCTAGACAACTTAAGCCACGCTTCAAGTCTCTACAAGAGATTGGGCTTAACTTGAACAATGGCCCACGACCAACGTGGCCGTAACATAACATTATGAAAGACTAAATCTCGTTATGATCTTTCGTTCCAACAGCTTCACACCTGTTCCAACAGCTTCACACCTGTTCCAACAATATCTGCACTTTCAATCTCTCCCTTTTTGACTGAGTTTTACAGCTCAAGCTCTCCATGTTAAGCACGCATACCCATCAGTAATCATGATATAAAAACTCTCCCTTAATCCTATATCATCGTGCTAATATCTGTTCACGGAACTTTCTCAATCTCCCCCTGCTTGAGTGATAAAACTCTGTTAAAACATTAAGTGCAGGATGAGCTTAGTTATACCTGTTTGGGCATAGTCCACTATCAGAAACGCCTTCCCCCTTTGAGGTCTACAGTGATTTTCATCCTCCCAAAGCTTATAGCACAAGAACCTCCAAAACAAAAAGATCCACGTCTGATGTAGATTACCAATCTTTGCTTTCTAACTTGTTAGTTCCATCCATAATGCTGTCTTTATCAGCAACATAATCAATGGCTTTAAAGCACTACTCATCATAATCAAGCATCAAAGGAATCAATACAAACCAAAGCTGCTCCTTGGATTAATATCTTCACGTTTCTCTTCAATTGCAAATCTCACCTGCTTAATTGACAACCAAACTCAACACCAATACATAGTCTTTACCTCAAATCGTCCATATGAGTTAACTACACGGCGGATAACACTCCCCCTACACCACTGCATCACTTTCTCTCCCTGCTTGGATGCTCCTTCATAGAAAAATCACAGTATCTCTGTTACAGACCTCTGTTTCAACTATTCTGTCTTCTCACTTGTGTTTTACATCTCACTTATACATAACCAGTATCTCTCCCTGATTGAGTTGGTAAAACTCTGTGCACAAAGCTTCTTCTTGGAATACATAGAGTTTGTAAAAAGAAAATCCACATCTTGAAAACAAACAACTCAGATTCTTCCAGCGAACACATAAGCTCATGTCATAAGTCAAACTTAGCTGCTTCATTTTATTTTCATTGAAACTTCTCTGTGTGTATCTGAACTAAGATAAATTTCTTTTGACCTTGATCACAACCCTTGAATTACAAGCAAATTTACCATGATCCAACAGTTCATTAGCAGCAAACCGTGCTCCCCCAACAAGCTTCATTCTCATTTAGACCAATAGTTCTGCAAACTGAAACTCAAACTCATACATTGCAACAACATGTAGCACATAGATTCAACTTTCTAAGGCTCCCCCTTGAAACAAGAACCTGTGAATTTCATTGTCGTTCTTTCAACCATTTTTTTTAAACAGATGTGATTTGCAACGGATGTATACCACATGTCTCCCGGATAGCCACTTTTCTAGAACCAAGTCTGAACTCAGAACATTTCTGTAAAACTTCCATACAATTCTTTCTCAGCGCAGCGGAAAAATACGAGAAGCCTTCAAAAAATTGCATACATACTCGTGTAGAAGATAAAGACGAATGATGCTGAATTCATGACCATTAATCAAAGCAGAACTTACTACCTCTTTTTGGTAGTTTTCCTTTCAGCTATCTCCCACCAGCTGATCCAGTGACGTTCTTGAGACTATTGTTTTAACAACTTTCTGTCATATCATCGTTAAATCCCAATTTGCAACCAATCATTGCCCGCTGGCAGTCTTAACGTGAGTAACATTCTTTTTCTCCTTGAGAGAAGATCTCATCCATTCTCATGCAGTGAATCCAAAAACTTGTCCTTGTTGACAAGCATATAACCTCTACCAATCCTTGATTGACAAATGATCTGATGTTGTATCTAACTCAATGTTTCAACAAAACACACATGCTTTCTAGCCTTGTTTCGTTTTGAATCACAGCAAACCATCCTTTGAAACATGCATATCAATTATCGCCACCTGAAACAGAAATCTGCTTGTTTCTTCATCTTTCTGCAAACAACTTTTCTTTTCATCAAACAAGCCTCTTTTCAAACACAAAAGAGCACAGAGTATGTAGAAAGATCAAACTCAGACAATGAAGCCATGTTATCGCTTTGATGATGAAAGCCTAACTCCGTCAGCCATGTGATTCTTTTATATCAAATGAGGGCTTCATAAATTTTGTGCTCTGTCACTTATAATGGAAAGATTCTTTTTCTTGACACTTCATAAGCTTCATTCCAAAAATCTTCAACTTGAAAACAAGAAAACTGCAGATTCCTGAAACTCCTTTGTTATATTTCCACATTCACCAACAATTCTTCTCTAGAATCCTAGAGCCTTAACAAAGAGTAGACTCCTAGCAAGTTGTCCATAATTCTAAAATACACAGAAGCTGAAGACTTCCCAAGAGTAAACTGCCGAACAAGGACTTACAGTAACATGTTAATTCACTTCTTTGGCACAGTAAGCTGAAACAATCTCTTCTAGAATCATTTGCAAGTCACCTTTGCAAGACACAGCTTTAGAGTCTCCGAAATAACTACTCTGAACCGCCATCATTCTACTCTGTCCTCGGACTCCGAATCCAATGCCCTCCTACCAGAATCTAGCTCCGTAAGTCTAGAATATCTTTGCAAATTTTCATTTCATTCCAAGTTTAATTGGTCGACCATTTGATGTCTCCACTATAACTGGTCAGATCTGAAACTTCAGTTGACATGTGCCCGGAACAGATTGAATACGGTCGAATAAAACGCAATCCAACCGTCAAAAAATTAATCCCACCGTTGACACTCAAGACAGTAATAGCAAGAAGCTCACTACCAAGTTTCAGCTCGATCAGATTACTTTTAGGACTCCAATCGTTGTCTCGAAGATCCTATCTCGTAACTGATTTCTGCAATTTTTCAATCCCGAAAAAAAAATACGCTTCCCTCCTTTGATGTTGCAATGTTGATCTTCTTCGCTTCACTCTTCCATGCTTATGTTAAACAAGCTACAACCTCTGAAACAATCTTAATATCCACAAGTATCAGGTTCATTCCACTGAGACAGAATCTTCACACAATCTACACCTTAGTATTGTAATTTGCAGTGGAAACTGAGAGTTAAAGTCTCAAAAACGTTAAGATCCTGATGTTCATCACCCTGAGAAAATGACGTCAACTCATGCCTTCCATGCCTTCCTCAACTTGAAACAATCTGATACCTTAGAGATCTACACCATCAAACTGTTCCTAGAACATATAAGCCAGAGTATACCACAGCGTATGGAAAATGCCCATCTTGACGAAATCTTCATGAACATACGCTTCTTGATCTGTCTTCATGCAGAACACAAACGGAGTAGCAAATCAATCCAGAAAATTATGAAATTTGGTGAAAATATCCACAACAGTCATACCAAGCCACGAGAAAAAACGGATCACGATTTGGGTTTACGGTTTGAAAGTTATGATCAATTATACAAGACAGATCCGGAACGATACAAACCTGCGAGCAGCCAACTTTAAGAGCGATTTTCCATCAAACCACACGGAACCAGAAAATGATCTTTATATCTTTGAAAAGATCTCATTCTCAAGTTTTCAGAACATCTTTCAGAGATAAAATCCGAGGTCTGTATACCCAAAGAAAACGAAGAACCAAGAATCAACCATGAGAATATTCTTTCGACCTTGCTCACCAACCTTTGTAGACTTTTCATGTTATCTTGTTTCATTACTGTCTTCTACAGTATTCTGATGAGACCTTTCATTACCAGTAGATTTCCCATGAACCTTCTTCTCGATTCCATAAACGCAAATAGGCTAGTTGTTTCAATTTCTGAAAATTCTTGAGTTTTCGCTTTAACCTTCGAAAATTTTCTCTTGAAATTGCTGTTGCCGTTGAGCTTCTCCATTATAAAATTCTTCTTTCTTATCCGATAGCGACAAGCACAGATGCAATCCCGATCAACAGTAACACAGCCTCCAACATGTACGTCATAACCAGAATCGCCTCCATCACTGATTAATTGCAGAGTTCTGAAAAATTCATCTTTGTTTATATTCTCTCCATGAATCTCCTACAATATCAAGCAACTCTTCTACAATGAAGCACTTAATCCAGACCCATCTGTCTTGGTTCATCTCTGTCACGTCCATAATTAAAACAAACTCATGTGTCTCTGTCAACGGACCAATTTCTTTCCTGGTGATCCCATTCTTCATTGAACCTCCGACGACGCATCATAAAAATGCAAGTTTTCTTTTTCTTCATACCAGACGACAAGCATTCTTGTTTAACTCCGATCCGCTTCACTTTTTTGTTCAGAAGCTTAAGCTTTTGGTTTCAACATTCATCTCCCCCTTGTTGATTGTGTGTCTCAATAAGGCAAAAAGCCGGGACGAGACACATACAACAACACAAAACCAAGAAAGCTTATCAACTGAAGCAAACTTCTGACCTTCCAAAATCTGACACACTCAATTTCTGCTCCAAAGAACCATTAAATCCAAAGCCAGCCAACATGTCGACAATAGAGACGACAAGCATATACACCCGAAGCCAATTTTCTTCTCTGCAACCGAGAATCACCAGTACCGCTTAATACATTTATCTTCTAGTTAGTATA